CAGGGGCTCCCTCCCCCCACCTCTCCCCCACCCCTTCCAGCTGTTGTTGGGGCCCCCTTCCTGCTCCCCTCCCTCCCTCATTGCCACCCAACCCCGACAACAGCCACCACTGTGACCCCTCTTTGCCTCCCCCCAGCCTGCTTCCCTACCTCCCTCCTTCCCTGCTGGCTGTTCTGGGGGGCGTTGGGGACAGGTGGCGGGGGAGCACTGCCACCGTGACCCCCCACACCCTTCACCCTCAGGCAGAGATGCATGGGGAAGCCCCACTGCTTGGGTGGCTAGGGCATGTTTGCCACCGCCACAAAACTTCCCCAGCAGTGGCTCAAACTTGGGCCCATGCAGCCTGGGTCCCTGCAGCCAATCGCCATCTGCCCTCCGGGCAGTGCATGCGCAGTTGGCCAAAAACATTATGGACAGACAGACTAAACCCTTTATTATATTAGAATAACAACAACAACAACTATTAATTAATACTATATATAAACTAAGAATTTCTCATGAAAATTTTAATAATGAAACGTCCCCAAACTGGAATAAGTTTCAACCTTAAATTTTGAACACAATTTTCAAAAAAAAAAAAAAATAAGGGCCTAAAGTTTAGGTCCTAAATAAGTAGTTTAAGGACCCTGCCCACATTATATTTAAGACATGATTAACCAGTTAATCACATCTTAAGCTGTAACCTGATCACATATTCAATCAATTACGGCACGATAAAAATAGGAATAAACTACAGAATTATTCCACAAATAAGTGCAACACTGACTGGTTCCCATCACAACCCTAACTGAACATATGGTCAGGTGTGCCCATGTGGCTGGAAGTCCCATCAGCCATGGAAGCTTGCTTCTTGCCAGTGCAGAGGAAGACTAGGATCATGATCCAAGGCTCTGCCTACAACAGCAGTAAGGTGTGATGGGATCTGATGCATGATCCCACAGTCACACCTCCTGCCATGCACATGTGGCATGGCAGAAAGTTTGACTGTGCAGCTCATGCATCAGATCCCATCGTGCCTTTACCTACACACCTGAAACGGGCCTAAATCATGACTATGCTGAATGCCCAGCATCTCCTAATGACTTCAGTCAAATTCAGTCTATGTATCACTGAGCTCTTCTGAAAACTTGTGAGTACCATCAACTCCACCTGAAGTGAATGGAAGTTGAAGTCATCTTGCATACCTAAGAAATGTACAACTTTCCTATAGAGTTAAGCCCCAAAAGATTGTAACAGACAAATACTGAGGAGTAATAATTTTTTAAAATTGTTTTAAAGTTTCACTTGCCCTTTCCAACAGATTTAAGATGAAATTTCAAAGATACTGGAAAAACACTAGCACTTATGATAATTACCAGTCAGATGTTAATCATCAATAAAATCCTACCGCAATGTTCTATGCTGAAGCCAGCTTTCATGTTTGTAGTGAAGCTTCTCCAGATACTCTATAGGAATGTCTTGTTCTTCATCTCTTCCACGCAAGTAAATCCTATTCAAGCATTTCTGAAAATGGGAGAGGGGGGGAAGGGAGGACAGGGAAAAAAAAAGACCTGGTGAGCTTGCAAGAACAGAATTTTAAAAAGATGAGGTCTGGTCATTTTCAACTCCCTATGAAAAATGTTTTCTTGTGTTTAAAACCAAAATATTCTTCTTACTTGCTAACTGGTAACTGGGTTTTGGGATTAAGAAAGCAGACTGGCATGTTTAGCTGACCATCTAAAGATCAACCAGTAAGGAAAATGAGAGGAGTAGAGGGGACGGAGGCAGGGGACAATCCAAGATAAAAAAATCTGCATTATTTCTTCATTTTTGATTAAGTATATTTATGTCACTAATGAAAACCTGTAAGTCTTCATTGTGAAACCATGTTTCTAATCAGACATTATTTTACTGATTAAATCTGAACTAATGTTCTTGAAAAACACTGCTGGCTCCATAAACTCAAAAGTTTTGAAAGTTAAAATATATCAGCTAAAGAGAACCTACTGGACAGCCAGACAGTACCAAGCATTTAACGGACTAAGACCCTAGAAAATCTACTAATCTGTCCAACAATGGCAGTCTAATCATCAAAACTAGTATAGCCCAATTTTGGAAGGGAATTTTAACAAGTTTGCTTTGCTATAGAATCTAAAGGACAGGGAAACTGAACTGTTCCATGGCAAGTCACAGCCACCCAGAGCAATTATCAAAATCATAGGTGTAAAGATAGAAAGAATACCTCTAAAGTTTTAAAATCAGCCTTTTTCCAAGGCTCACAAACTGACCACACATGTTGAATCCTGCATGAGCAGGTTCTCAATTAGTCAGACAGGTGAGACTAGTCCTCAGGTTCACAGAAAGTGATTGAGCCAGATTTGCATTGCATCCCAGATCTCTATCCGAACATTCTAACATGAGAGAACTGCTCCATTTCTGCAAGAACTTTTACAAGATTTTTCTCTACCTTCATAAAATTAGGGGTAAATAGCCTCAACATGTCCCTGACTGGCATAGGATCCAGGAATGCAAAACACTCTGCCCCATGACGGCTACAGTAGCAGCAGAAGATAGAAAGGAGGTAAAGGGCAGCTCCTCAGACTGAAATAACTGTAGTTAAGTAGTTAAAGCAAAAGACTGGAAACTGGGGCATCTGGGTTCTAGTTTTGGGTCAGCCCGACTGTGATTTTGTACAAGTTGCTTATGACCATGTTATCCCTGCAACCTGAAACAGATGCACAGAGTTGGAGCCAAAATAGTCCTGAGGAAATGATACAGAACAGTAAATACACTATGAAAGTATAGTCATCTACACTCATGCCAGCTAAGGTCAACAGCATTAGGCCTGTGCGAAGCAGCAAGTATTTGCTTCGGATTTGGATAATTCAGGGGGGACAGAGATTCGATTCGGCTGATTCAGAGATTCAGCCATAGACTATACAGGCAGTCCTCGACAACACTAGATGCAGCTGCCTCCAGCTGGTAAGTCTGTTGTGGTAGGTGGAAGGGGGAGGGAAGGCAGATCAACGCCCCCACAGCGAGGGAGGGATTGGGGCTGGAACAAGCTGCCCAGCCAGGGCAGCAGGGCACAGGACTCAGGGTGGGGGGCTCCCGCCACTGCAGGCCACCAGTCCGGGAGCTGCTCTTCTGGTGGCTCCTCTGGTGGCTCTTGCTGCCAGTCTGGGAGGGCATGGAAGAGGCGTGTGCCCCCAGATCAGCACAGGGCAGGCTGGGCCAAGTTGTGCTTCAGGAGGTTAGCCCCAGCCACCTGCTGCCAGGCTGCACTCCACAGGGTGGGAGGAGCCAGGGCTGCACTATGTGCTGCAGCTGGGGCTAGCCGCCCAAAGCGCAGCCCTGGCTCCACTGGCCCCATGAAGCACAGCCCGGCGGTGGGCAGCTGGGGCTAGCCGCCCAGAGTGCAGCCCTGGCTCCATCCATCCTGGCAGCAGAGGCTTGCCGTCCAGAACACAGCCCTGGCTCTGCCCACCCCATGGAGTACAGCGGGCAACTGGAGCTAGCCTCCTGGAGTGCAGCCTAGCCCAGCCTACCCTGCACAGATCCAGGGGCACATGCCCACTCCCATGCCCTCCCAGACCGGCAGCAAGAGCCACCAGAGGAGCCACCAGAAGAGCAGCTCCCGGACCAGCAGTGCACAGTGGTGGGAGGCCCCCCCCCCGAGGCCCCAGGGAGCCCCCCTCCCTGAGTCCCATGCCCTGACCCTGCTGGTCAGCTTGTCCCAGCCCCAGCCCCAACCCCTCCCTTGCTGTGGGGGTGTTGATCTTCCCACACACCCCTTCCCTTCCCCGCCTCCACAACAGACTTACCAGCTGGAGGCAAGTGTGTCCAGCATCATCAAGAACTGCCTGTATAGTCTATGGCCGAATCTCCAAATCAATTCAGAGAGTTCCAATTCAATTTGGACCTTTTAATGGGTCTCCCGATTTGGATTTGGTCACCGAATCAAGCCCAATCTCCTCCGAATCGAATCAGCTACTGAAGCTTTGCCCAGCCCTAACCAGCGTACATCTAAGCAAAAGGAAAGTAGTCAGGATCCAGCCACTCTGCAGAGTAAGTTCTCCTCCTTAAATTGGTATAAAGTTATTGGCCACAAAAATTAATACCAACAACAGCTGGTTAATAAAATATCTGTTAAAGCTGTATTGACAGAAAATTGTTGGGGAGAAGTGGGGAGAGGAGGAGGAATAGAACCAATATCCTATTTTCTCCTGTTATCCTATTTTCCAACCAGTTCTAAACATAGATCAAATTAGTACTACCTTCTGCTAGACATCTCATGAACATTAGAGAGGACACAAGCATGGGTTCTATTGACATATGAATGACACAACACTATTGAGCCTATGACAAGGCAATTGAAACAGCCAGACTGTCATTGGCTTCAAGTATGCCACCAATGCTAATCTGGAAAGAGGAATTTCTGACACCTACCAATGACCCAACAGCTATGGAATTTCTACTGCCTTTTCTTGCTGATCTCTATGCAACACATAGTTTTAAAGATGTTAGATATAACTGTACTACACGGCCACTGAATCTTTGTTCTTTGGGATACAGATCTAAGTTACCCTAGCTTTTCATGCATCAAACTATTCTGTCATCATAATCTGAGCTTTATTTTTTAAGCATTACTTAAGCAGCCTTGGGGCTACCGGTGGACAAAATATTCCTAGGCTGTTTCCTAAATGGAAACACTCTATGCCAGGTATGGACAATTATTTCAGCTGGAGAGCCGCTTAATGAGTTTTAGTGAGCTATTAAGGGCCACAAAGATACACCCTTTATCAAACAGCCCACCCCCTGGTCACCATCTCAGGACTAGAAGTTCCACTGCCCTAGCCCCTGACCTTTGCCACCAGAAGTCCCACCCCTTGCTCAGAAGTACTCCTGGGAGATGGGGGGGCACCGTCTTGGCACCAGAAGTTCCTCCACAGTTCCATCACATATTCTATGACATAAGGAGGCCCACCCACCTGACACCAAACCTTGCCGTGTTGGTCCCAGGATCCCCTGCCCCCATCACATGGTCCCTGATATCAGATCCACCCCTTGACTGGGAAACACTACCCCTCCACAGGGCCTGCCCTCATGGTGCATGGCCTGCCCCCGGGACTGCAGAAGTTCTGCCCTCTAGGCCACGAGGCACAGGCATGACCCATCAGGTAGTGAGGAGTTGTGACCCCTCTAATAACCTGCCGTATCGCCCTCAAGCAATCGGTGGAGGTTTCAGGTGCACTGGACCTCCCCAAGAACAGCGCCAAACCAACTGAAATGAGGTCTGCAGAGAAAATCTTCCAGAATAAATAATTTTAACAAAAGTATAGAAAAAAAATCATATACTTAAAAAAAAGTCAAACATCTACTATTGCAGGGGTGTAGGTTGTAGCCGTGTTGGTCTAAGGACATAGGCAGACAAGGTTCCTTGGGTGAATCCGATATATTTTATTAGACCAACCCAAATAGTTGGAGAATAGTTATTAAGCAAGCTTTTGGGTTCAAAAACCCTTTGTCAGGCTAAGGAAGTTTCAGCAGTTGGTGTGTGAAAATATATCGGATTCACCCAAGGAACCTTGTCTGCCAAACATCTACTGTATCATTTTTTTATTTTATTTTTAAAAAAAGTATTGTCCTGATTTGTGTGTGTTCAAGTAGTGTAGATAGAGGCGATAGCCATTATAGCTCAAAATAAAGTCTTACTCTTGTATATTGTGTGGAGGTGGCAGAGGGGTGCATGTGGGGGATCTTTGGGAAGTGTGTGGTATATGATTGGGGTGTGGGTGGGTACGCACATGTGGGCGGCTATCCAAGCATTAGGTCCTGGGAACTGACCAGAAGTGGGTGAGGGGAAGGAAGGGCAGGGTATGCTTGCAGCAGAGCACCCAGGTAAGGCAGGTGCAGTCAGCCCCACCCCTCCACTCCAGCCCGTGGCTGCTCCTTGGTGCTCTGCGTGGGGCCAAGGCCTGTCTGCTCCCACCTGGGGCAGCTCACCCTGCACTCCCACCTATACCTGCCCCTGCCCCAACCAGTGCACAGTTTCCTGGCGGGACCACCTTGCACCCACTTAGCCACCTGCAGGTGGCTACTGATCACGCCAAGCAGGTAGATTGGGTGGAAGGTGGCCAGGAGCTGGAGCTGGAGCCCCATGTGCTGGGGGAGGAGCCCCCAGCTGCTGCTTCCCCTCTGCCCACCGCTGCCGCTTCCCCTCCCTATCTGCTGCCCGGAGCACTGCAGCAGGGACAGGAGGAGCTGCTGAAGGCAGGGTAGTCAAGCAGTTCCAGCTACAGTCCCAGCCAAGTCTTGGGAGCCACAGATGGCAGCAGAGCATGGGCCAGGACAACCCAACCCTAACCCATTGCCCGCAGCTCCCAGCTGGAGTCCCAGGAGCCACACATGGCAACATGGAGCCAGGCTGGCCTGGCCCAATCACATGGGACTCCCTGCGGCTCCCAGCCAGAGTTCCGGGAACCGCACATTTCCAGTGCTCCCTGTCTTGGGGCTGGGGCAGGGCAGGGCAGGGCAGGAGGCTAGGCTGGAGGTTGCTTGCCTAGCAACCAGAGCCCAAGCTGCTGCTGCTTTCAGAGGGGCAGCCACAGGTCAGTGATAATTGTCTTCTTTATGCAGCCCACAGGGCCCCTCTTTCGCCTGGTGGGTGAGATCTGGCCCGCAGACCATATTTTGCCTGCCCCTGGTCTACACCCAACTTTTATTTCCCAGACAGTTTTGTTACTCTCCCCTGATCCCCGTCTCGGGTCACAAAATCTTACTCCTCACCTCAGGAGTAGCTCTGAGATAAATGATTCCATCCAGCTCAAGACTTTGACCAAACTGCTTATTCATCCATTCATGCCAGTCTTGGTAAACGGTCCATTCAGTCTCGTTCATACAATCGGACTCATACAAGTTAGCTGCAAAAATATACCTAAAAAAAGGAAAAGTTTTAGTCAAACAATGAGGGAACTCAAGTCATGTTTTCATTGGATCCAAAAAGATAAACAGCTCTTATTTTCAGGATTCAGATATATGCTCAATAAACCCCTTGCCAACCTTACCATGGCCTGCCATAACCCAGTCTTATAGAGGAACATTTAAGTTGAAGTTCCTGTACTGAATCACCACAATAGCTAATGGAAATTATCCTGGGGCACAAGTTAACTGCAAGACTGCAGGCACATAGCTCATAAGGAAAGTTAGGTAAAACAAAAAAAGCAAAGACTAAAATTACATACAGATAATACAGACCAGTGAAGAAAACAAAATTGTTGTATGTCATGCTGGCAAAACAACCTCATTTCATACTTGCAAGGGACTCAAACAACATATCCACCAACAAGCTTGTGAAAACCTCATGTATAATCACAGTTAGAGCCTTATATACATTCCCATGATGTACTCGAAAGGATTTGGCTGTTCAGCTAAAAGGCTGAAAACTGAACATACCTGTCACTATACACAGATCGTTCAAAGAAGACCACTGGGTTCTCTGCCTCTTTGAGCTTCCCATCAAGAGACTTAAGCTGAGCCCGGATCCTGCTCAGGCATGCATAGGTCTGGAAGGTGAAAGACCACCGGTCTGGTTTTTCATACATCATCTGAAGTACATTTCCGCCACTTTTCTGGGATGTTGTCAGCTCCTGTATAAAGTCAGTCACCCATTAGTTATGGCTCTAGCCAAGTTGCTTTTAAATCATCCAGAATAACAACATCACACAGCCTCTCCCTCCTTCAAAGTCTCCACTGACTTCTTGGCTCCTCTTGTATACAAGTAAAGCATGAGTGATGTCTACTCAACACCTTCCCATCCTGGGACTGTGCTGAAACACACCACACATGTTCTACCCTTTCCTGAGACCCCTGCAATACTGAGGCATAATGTGGGTGAATATACAATAACTTGTTTTACTTAGAGAAAGAAAAACACAGGTATGATCTGTGGTGCTCTTGACTTTTATTTACCTAGAACAGTGGTGCCCAACCTTTTCACCCAATGAGCCAGATGAGTGATGCCAGGCCCATTCATGGGCTGGATCTGGCCAGCAGGCTCAAACTGGCACACAGGATGGGTACATCTGGGAGCTGCACAGGTCTGATCTGGACATGTGAGGTGGGGGGTGGAGTGGCCCAGTCCAATCTGAATATGAGGGAAGGGGTCAAGGAGCAGGCCAGCCCAATCTGGCTGCACAGGGCACAGGCCCAGCCCTGATCTGATCCTGCAGCAATGGCCCTGGGCAGGGCTGGATTTGGCTACACAGAGTTCTACCACTCTCCTGCTATCAAATTTCCCAATCTGAGGGGGATCCCCAGAGGCCAGATGCCATGACCCCATGGCTGGATGCCAGATTGAGAACCCCTGACCTAGAAGAAAGATTGCATGAGAATCAAACCTTAAACACAGTCATACTGCAAGGTACAAGACTAACAAAGATCAAATGTATCCAGCATCTGACTTGCATTAAACTTACCTGTCGCAGAGCACCTCGGTGCTCTGCTCCTAGAGGGGAGAAACTGCCAGGGAGAGAGACAGAGCCCTGGCAGGTCATAACGAGCCCAGCTGAGGGTTGCCAGGGTAACGAGCCCAGCTGCGGGTTGCCAGGGCAGCTAAGGGGAGCCAGCTGCCTGTAGGAGGCAGGGCCTGGCCCTTATAAAGCCCAGGGCTGAGACCAGGCTGGCAGTTCCCTGTCAGCAGCCGGAGAGGCAGGAGCTCCCTTGGCTGAGATGTAGCAAGAGGCCTGACTTGCAAGTACAGCTCACTATAGCCCTGAGAGGATGGGGCACTATGGTTTAGCCAGGAGGCTCTAGTTTATGTTCAGGCTTTCATATTACACAGGAGGCTTGGGTGAGGCTGTAGGGGTTGGAGGAGGCCTCATAGGGACCCCAGAGGTGTGGGGCCCCTGAGCGCAACCAGTGGGTTGC